GTTTACGACGGGCTGCGATGGCTTGCCGGCATGTTGTCGTGCCAACCACCCCAGCATGCCCTCTCCACACCGCGAAAATCATCCATCCCGACTCCCGTCCCACGGACCGGCAAACTCAAAACAACATCCTAGTGCTGCATCTCCTTTGTGGTTGCTGTTGATCATCACGTCTGCCGCGAGCCCTTCACTGCGAACTCAACACCCCTACCCTCGACCGCCCCAGAAATCTCCAGTCCACGCCATGTCGCGACAACGGTGCCTGAAGTCTAGGGCGACAAGACGTCCGGCACCATAACGGCGACAGCAGCCATACTACATGTCGCACGGTGAGCCGTCGCGTCCAAACCTTCCCTTAGCGTACCCCTTCCAGACGTCCAATTACATCCTCGTCGACATGTCAATACTTGACAAGTATAAGGGAGCTCCCAGTTGACAGGTTTCGCCCAACCTGTCTACACCAGAAAGCACCCAGGTACCTGCCGGCTCCTGTGGAAGTCATCGGTCGATGATGTTTCTGTACACAGCGTGCATTTGGACCAATCGACAACCACCAACACCATCGCAAGATCAAGTGCTCAAGTCAGTATACACGCACATGCTGCCATGTTCCGCGCGCATCGTCTCCCTTTGGGACGCGTCTTAGTCACGCTAAAAGGCGGGGTTACATCAGCAGACTCTTGGCGAAGGAGCCCACTGAAATTCTTTCCGCGCCGCATTCTCTGCCAAACTTTTTCTTCTTGGGAAAACCCTCGATTTTCCCCGGCCAGAGTCCTTTACTGAGAACGACGGTCTGTTTCCTTCAGTGATACCCCTCTTACCCTTCTCAAACCCTTGAGAAGTTTCTTTTTATACCTATCATGCCCATCTCCAACGGTGACGCCATGACCAACACGGCTGAGAACGCCTTGGACTACACCAAGGCTCTTGAGATTCTCAAGAACGACTACCCTGAGCACGATGGCATTGACATCAAGACGCTCATCGACTCCAAGAAGAACGGCGGTCTCACATACAATGACTTCCTCATGCTTCCTGGCTACATTGGCTTCCCCGCAGCCGAAGTCGCACTCGACACCCCAATCACCAAGCGCATTTCTCTCAAGACGCCCTTCGTCTCCTCGCCCATGGACACTGTCACCGAGCACAAGATGGCTATTCACATTGCGCTTCTTGGAGGTCTTGGTGTGATCCACCACAACTGCTCTCAGGACGACCAGGCTGAGATGGTTCGCAAAGTCAAGCGCTTTGAGAACGGTTTCATCCTGGACCCAGTCGTCATCTCTCCCAACACCACTGTTGGAGAGGCCAAGGCGCTGAAGGAGAAGTGGGGATTCGGTGGTTTCCCAGTCACTGGTAAGTCAGACTATGCTCTGTTGTTCCTACCCCCATTCGCATTGTGATGATCAACCTTTCAAAATAACTTTCGTTCATCCGCAAGGTTCCGCCTACTGTGGAGAAAATGTATCTGAATTGCCTCCAAACCACTACGCTTTGTCAACATCTTGTATTGGAATCATCCACTGACAATAGCTACAGAGAACGGCACTCTTCGCTCCAAGCTCGTTGGTATCATTACACCCCGAGACATCCAGTTCCACGACAAGCTCGACGACCCGGTCACCGCAGTCATGTCCACCGACCTCGTAACCGCCCGCCACGGTGTTGAGCTCAAGGAAGCCAACGACATCTTGAACAAGTCCAAGAAGGGCAAGCTTCCCATCGTCGACGAGAGCTTCAACCTGATTGCGCTCCTGTCTCGCTCCGACTTGATGAAGAACCTCAACTTCCCGCTTGCGTCCAAGCTCCCACACTCGAAGCAGCTCATCGCGGCGGCTGCCATCGGTACCCGACCCGAGGACAAGATTCGTCTGCAGAAACTCGTAGATGCCGGCCTTGACATTGTCATCCTCGACAGCAGTCAGGGAAACAGCATGTACCAGATTGAGATGATCAAGTACATCAAGGAGAAGTACCCTCAGCTTGACGTGATTGGCGGCAACGTCGTCACACGCGAGCAAGCTGCTGGGCTCATCGCCGCTGGTGTCGACGGTCTCCGTATCGGCATGGGTAGCGGAAGTGCCTGCATCACACAGGAAGTCATGGCTGTCGGACGGCCACAGGCTACCTCGGTGTACAACGTCGCCTCATTTGCGTCCCGGTTCGGCGTGCCCTGCATTGCCGATGGTGGTATCCAGAATGTAGGCCACATCGTCAAGGGTCTCGCTATGGGTGCCTCGGCCATCATGATGGGTGGTCTCCTAGCCGGTACTACCGAGTCTCCCGGAGAGTACTTTGTCAGCGGTGACGGTCAGCTCGTCAAGGCCTACCGTGGTATGGGCAGTATCGCCGCCATGGAGGACAAGAAGGCCGGCGCCGGCGCCGCAGACTCCAAGGCCAGCAACGCTGGTACTGCGCGTTACTTCTCCGAGGGTGACCGTGTCCTCGTTGCCCAGGGTGTCTCTGGATCCGTCCAGGACCGTGGCTCCATCACCAAGTTCGTGCCTTACCTCATGGCTGGTGTTCAGCACTCGCTACAGGACATTGGTATCACGAGCCTCGAAGAGCTTCACAAGGGCGTTGCCAACGGCACCGTCAGGTTCGAGTTGCGCACTGCTAGCGCACAGGCTGAGGGTAACGTGCATGGTCTGCACAGCTTCGACAAGAAGCTTTACTCATAGATGAGCGAAAATGATATACGAAAGAAATGCATTGGGAGGGCGTTAGTGGGTGGTTGGGATGGTTGAATGGCTTGGTTCATTCCCTCGTTATTAGACACGACGCGCTATGCGAAAATGATTGATGTTCTTATTTACGGGAGCAAATGGATACAATAGGCCAAAAGCAATGATACCACGAACTCTGTTCATTCTTATTGAAGCACAAAATATGTCTTCTGCTCAGTCAGTGATGCATGCTGCCGCGGGAAATTCTGGAGTGTTGACTCTTTGGCCGCGATGTCACCGTGCGAGCTAACATGTCCTAACCTCGGTACCTCCCCGCGCGTCGACTCGTCACTCACCAACCACATGCCAGCCGTCATAACGCGCCGACCGCCATTGTCGGCTGTCTGTGAAGCCGGATATGCCAATGCGTCTCCTGGCTGAAGGTAGATTGACTGCGCGCTCCTTTACCCTTAGACAAACTTTTTCTACACGTCCCACCTCTACACTCTCTTCGTTCTTCGACAGACCACAGGTTCGGTGCAGAGCGACGTCAGTACGAACAGCTGCCTACTTGAAGGCTATCCAACGGCCCGCGACTGGATTGTTTGAGTTAAAGAAGCGCAACATGTCCACCCCAGCAGACCACCAGCCGTCTAAAAAGGCGGCAAAGACACCAGCGGTTCCACGGCCCAGCGCAAGGTATACCGCCAACCCTCCACCTCTAGCAACGGTTCCAAGTACCATAGGCTGACCATCCCCAGCGTCCTCCTCATCTCCCCTACCAACCAAATCCTTCTTCTGCACCGTGTCAAGAAAGCCTCGAGCTTCGCCTCCGCACACGTCTTCCCTGGCGGCGCCCTCTCCAAAACGCACGACGGCACCATCCCCGACGTGAACGACCCAGGGAGACACCAAGATGGGCCTGCCTACCGTATGGCAGCCGTGCGCGAGACATTTGAGGAATGCGGTATCCTACTAGCTAAGAGCAAGAAGACAGGCAAGCTGTTTACCGAGATCAGCGACGAAGAACGTGAAAAAGGGCGACGAGACGTGCACAGCGGAACCGTCAAGTTTGGCGATCTACTTGAGAAATGGGGTGCTGTCCCCGACACCGAGGCGCTGATACCGTTTACGCGGTGGGTAACGCCCGGCAACGTGCCCAAAAGATTCTCGACACAAATGTACATTTACTTCCTACCTCTCGGCTCCGTATCGCCCACGAAACACGCGGCACCAGCGTCCACGCCCCCTGGCTCTGGACTTGAAGAAGAAGATGAAATTGTTATACCAAACCCGACGCATGACGGGGGTATCGAACACACGGCCGCACGTTTCCTGCCACCGAACAAGTGGATTGATCTTGCGAGGCAGAATAGGATCATACTGTTTCCGCCGCAGTTTTTCCTGACGCTGCTGCTGAGTCCGTATCTAGCGGCAACGGTCACGAGCCCGAGCAGTCCTACACCTAGTATTTCGGAGTTGCAACTCGAGCGAGAAAAATGTCTGGATTTCTTGCGCAAACCGAGGATGTATGAAGGCAAGCCTGAAGTTTCCTTTGCAGAAGCTTGTATCTCTCCTATCGTGCTGGGCAAGGGACAGTATGGAGAGAAGGGGCAGGACGGCGTGGGAGGTGTGGATAAAGATACTGCGGTTCTCGTATTGGATCGACCGGGTAAAGAGATCGAGGAGCAAGAAGGTGGAAAGGGGAGGAGGGGATTGCGGGAATGGGTTGTTACGACGAGGTTCAAGGGGGAGGGGCCGAGGGATGTGGATGTTAGACGGAGGGAGGACGTGCTGGGGAAGAAGACGCAGGAGAAGTTGTAGATTGCGTTGTTCTTATTGAGCAGTGCGATTGACTTCCAATGTTACCACAAAGTGATGGTAGATGTGATTATGCTCGCACAGCTGTTTGGGTATTGGTCATTACCAGCCAGCGCCGTTGATCAAGCATCAAACCAAAGTTTCCAAGACGAGATCCGCCAGGACTGGGCCCGAAGAGCGGAACCAGCCTGCACCAGTCGCAAAGAGCTTGGTGTAGCTAGCGCTTAGCTTATTTCCCCGCATTCTAGCGATGATCAAGAAGATCGTATGCCTCATCTATTCCCGGTCCGGCGAAACCACCTAGGCGGCTCGGCGCAACGCATGCCGAGCACCATATAGTACCTTGAACCTTGAAACTTATCAGGACATGATATCAGCAGAGTACATCCTGCTTCGTGCAGCTCATCCTTCATCTAGCAAACATGTATTGGACTAGGCTGCTGGCAAGTATCGCTTCGTTGACGACGCTGCAGTTGGAGGTACTAGCTGGGTCTTGTTGGCGGGACACTACATGCAATGGACCAACTGAAGCTGCGTTTGAAGGTACTTGCTTCTGTTCCTATCTTTCTTCCTTAATGCTAACGAATCAGGGCCCTGGCAAGGGAACATCTACGCCCCATCATCACGTACAGTTCGACCAAGATCAGTCATCACTATTCGAGACCGTCATCCAGCAAGTTACCCTCGACTCGTGGTCCTCCGCGGGAATGGAACGAATGTTGTTTTCGATTTCGGTATAGAAGTTGGCGGTATCGCCTCCCTCTCCTACACCAGCAATGGAACCGGTGCTATCGGCCTCGCATTCTCCGAAGCATCGACGTGGATTGGCGAGTGGTCTGATGCGTCGAATGGAAAGTTTGCTGGTCGCGATGGAGCATTGTATGTCAATATAACTAGTGCTGGTCCGGGGACGTATACGATGCCGGATGAAGTGATGCGAGGAGGGTTTCGGTACATGACTGCTTTCCTCGTCACGAACACGGGCACCTACGTCAACATCACGGATGTGCAGCTTGAAATCAGTTTCCAACCTACATGGTCGAATCTGAGAGCATATCAGGGGTATTTCCATTGTAACGACGAGCTGCTGAATAGGATATGGTATGCAGGCGCCTACACGCTCCAAACCAACGCCGTACCATCCAACACCGGCCGCTGGGTTCCCATGCTCGCCAACGGCTGGGCCAACAATGGTACTTTGGGACCAGGAGAGACCATCATCGTCGATGGCGCAAAGCGCGATCGCGCCGTCTGGCCAGGCGACATGGGCATTGCCGTGCCTTCAACTTTTGTCAGCACTGGAGATCTCGAGAGCGTGAAGAATGCATTGCAAGTCATGTTTGACTACCAGAATCCAGATGGCTCGTTCCCGGAAGCTGGACCGCCGTTGTTGCAGCAGAATAGCGATACGTACCATATGTGGACGATGATCGGGACGTACAACTACATGCTCTACACGAACGATGCAGCCTTTGTGCAGAAGAATTGGGCGAGGTACAAGAGAGCTATGGAGTATGTTTATGCTAAAGTCGAGGTGGACGGATCTGGTTTGTTCAATCAGACGGGCACGAGGGACTGGGCGCGCTGGCAGACTGGCTTCAACAACACCGAAGCGAATGTCATTTTATATCATACACTGCAGACCGGTGCGAAGCTCGCAACATGGCTCAACGACACCGCGATGACCAACGGCACTAGGCTGCAGGATTTATGGACATTACGCGCCACGTGTCTTCAATCAGCAATCCTTACCCACACCTTCGACACCGCGTACGGCGCATTTCGCGACAACGCTACACTCACCACTCTCCACCCCCAAGACGCAAACAGCATGGCCCTCCTCTTCGGCCTCGTCTCTCCTTCCTCCGCCCAGGCCCAATCCATCTCCACCGCGTTAACAAAAAACTGGACGCCCATCGGCGCCGAAACACCAGAACTCCCCGGCAACATATCCCCCTTCATCTCCTCGTTTGAGATCCAGAGCCACTTCACCGTCGGTAATACACATCGTGCGCTGGAACTGATTCGCAGGAGTTGGGGCTGGTATGCTAATCACCCCAACGGCACGGGTGGAAGCACGGTGATAGAAGGGTATAGGACGAATGGGACGTTTGGGTATAGACAGGAGAGGGGCTACGGATATGATCCGAGTTATGTGTCGCATGCACATGGGTGGGGCTCGGGGCCTACGAGTGCGTTGACGGAGTTTGTGGTGGGACTGAAGATTAGGGAACCTGCGGGGAAAGTGTGGGTTGTTGAGCCGAGCTTTGGCGATTTGGAGGAGGCGGAAGGGGGGTTTGTGACGGGATTGGGGAAGTTTAGGGTCGGCTGGGTGAATAAGAAGGGTAGAGAGAGGTATACGGTGGGGATTGAGACGCCGGTGGGTACGAAGGGTTCTGTGAGGTTGCCGCTTGAGGGGATGGGAATCTATATGGAGGTGATTTTGACGGTGAATGGTGAGGAGATAGGAAAGGAGGGGTATACTCAAGTTGATGGACAGTTGGTTTGGGACGTTGATGGTGGGACGTATGATATACAGGTTAGCAGATGGTCCGATACGGTTGGTGTGAAAAGGAACGATGACGAGAGAGGACATGCTAGTGCTGGTATAAGGATCAATGGAGGGAGGAGTTGTATGGTCTCAGCCTTGCTGGGTCTGAGTGTTCTTGGTGCTGTTGTGGGAGGACTATGAGCTGCGGTAGCAGTTTTAGAGCAGATTGAGAGAATGAGGTGGCTCATCATCAAGTACAATCTACGTTATGCATACGACGAGCTGTACAGCGGTTCTGCCGTAACACTTCCAGTCAATCGATTGAGAAAAACAGAGGCAAAGACTATACATAACCCAGCATGAGAGCACGATACTATTGTCAGATCCTGCGTCAAAATAGCAGCTGTGTAATTTCGACCCATCGACTGTTGATGATAAAGGGCGCCGGTCGTTTGAGTGACTTGGGTTTGCAGTGACATTACCATTGGTGTGCAGGAAGTCTTTTTTTTTCTTTCAGCTTACGATCCGATGAAAGTTTGTAAGTATCTGCAAAGCGCGCTTGATCTAACAGACTCGAGTATTAATGGATTGGTAGTGCCTCGGAAGTTCGAAGCGTAAAGATTGGGGGCGGAGCCTTTTCATTGGATATCCTCAGCCTAATCCAGCCTAGACAGCACAAGAGGCGTCTTCAGCTGAACGCGGCTTTCACTGCCTTTTCTCTACAAACAAGACTTCTACAACAACTCCCTTCGCCGCGCACGCACCCTGTTGCGAATAGCTGCCATGTACCGAACGACCTTTAGGCATATTCCGTTGACGCGTCCAGCCGAACAGACACGACTCCTAAAGCTTCAGCCTGACATTGACGTCATTCGGCTCAACATACAAACTTATGAGCTTGCGGAGTGCCCAGAATTTGTGGCACTATCGTATGAATGGGGCGATGGCTCAGAGATACACGACATCATTATAGACGGGGCAGTCTTTAAGATACGGCAGAATTTACGCGACGCCTTAGAACATATACGAACCCTTCAGGCGGATACATCGAGTACGAGGCTATTCGATCATGACTCGCCTTCTTTCTGGATTGACGCCATCGCAATCGATCAGTCGAACGATAGGGAAAAGCCTCATCAAGTTTCCATAATGGGAAAGATATACCGTCAAGCATCCCATGTCGTAGCTTGGCTCGGCCTTGAACAGGGTGACGATTGTTCAGGCTTGGCTTTGGATTACCTGAGTACAGGCCCTAAAGTATCGTCCGGATATTATAATGATCATCCAGACTCATTCACATTCTCGGCAGAGGAAAGGGCGATCAGCAAATTGTGTGACCGATCGTACTTCCAGCGCATGTGGATTGTCCAGGAGTGTATTCTTGCCAAAAAGCTTCACTTAGTCTGCGAGCTTCACTACTGTCCATGGAAGTACTTATATAACTTCAACAGGTACTTATATTCGGAACATAGAAATGAGTCAGTCAATATACTCTTCTCCACCAAGGAAGAATCCGAATATGATTGGTCGCATTCAACAATTCAGGACACTATGTCTCGCATCCTGGGCGTCGCCGTTGGTAGACATTGCTCAAGATTCCACGACCGAATATACGGGCTGCTAGGGATCCTTCAACAAAGCTACGAGACGATTGGTATGGACGTGAATTATGGAGCTAGCCTTGAGGAGGTGATGATCAAGACCCAAGATTTTCTCACCTCTGATCCTGAACATGATTATCCTGGAAATTCCCCTTGGTGGATTTCAGAAATTTTCAGACCAGTCGCATCAATAGATGTGCAAGGAAAGGTCGCATGGTACTGGCAGATGAACGAGATCATGTACAAGCTCGACGCAGATGTGATTAGAGGATTCCATTCGTTTGAGACTCTCCACGATGAGAAAGTGAGGGCATTGACCTTCCAGACGATCTGCTGGATCGTTGGTGGATATGGAGTTGATCTTTTCTCGCCTGCCGAAGGAAGCACTCCTCTGAAAACCACGACGATGCAGACTATCTCCCTCGAGTCCCGAAAGCACGAGGATTCAGAGTATCATCGCAAACATCGAGTTTTCACAATGCATTCGCGGTATAGTATAGGGAACTATACGTATTGTATCTGCTTAACGCACCGGCCCCGCGCGCCATATTGTTTGCCAGACGACTATATGATGACAGAGTCAAATTCATGGGGATGCAGAAGTTTGCTTGAGACATACAGCAAGCACGTCCGACTCCTGCGTATACTGCGGGAGGATCTCAAGGTTTCTGCCGAAGTGTCTGATTTGGAAAAACCATCGCCACTTCCAATCCAGATTCAGTGGATGGTGTTCTCTAATCTTCTGGCGCAGTATTTTCTCAGCAAATGGTACACAATAAGCTGGCCTGACCGCAGAACCAAGACTGATGGCTTTGTAAGGCGGATCGAGCGAGAAGGGAAAGATTTTGGTACCTTTCTCTCAGAATCTCTATTCGACAAATATAGCATGAGTGTGGCGAGTACATCTGATGAGTTGCCCGCAAATGCTCTCAAGTCAGTTGAGATTGAGATCACCAGTAACTCTGACCCTGTCAAGAAAACAATGGTGGCTTCATTATACGATAATGGCCCTGGAGCCGAGTTGTCAAGAGCCGGAAAATGGGCGGCAGAAGTTGAAGTATGGTCGTCAGATGAAGAATGGTCGTCAGAAGATGGAGAATGATCTTTCCAAAGTCCAAGTCAACACCACCACACGTGACCCGTCGCCGCCTAGCCATCCTGCAAAGCCTCCAGGCCACTCTACCACTCACCTTTCATCCGAAGTCTATCTTTATAATGGAATTGTTTGATCTTGTCTTCGCCTCCGGGCATATGGTCAAGAAAGAAACAATACAGAGAAGATTAGCATGGCCCCAGCACATGGATGACACGCTCTAATCAAAGAGAAGCTACCATTTTTTGTTCGTGCGCCAGGTCGAACTGCTTGTATTCCAGGCTGTTCGAACCGCCAAGTCAGCATAGGCAGACGTTATTGTTCTCTTTTGCTGTCTTGAAGGCCTGGATTAGCGTACACCATACTCGGATTACATATTCGGTGCAAAGACCATGTTAATCTTCACCTCCGTATAGCAACCAACATGCTACCATTCGGCAGAGATCCAGTATACACAAACGCGCTCATGGAGGGTATATATCGCTATCGTCATGACTTCGTATAGCCACCTGTAGGCCATTGCCCATCACCCCTTGCTCAGCCACACCAGCCTACCCCATGGCCACCCTCAGCCTATATTATCATCTCGCCCTCATCCCCCTCGCCACCCCCAACATCCTCCCCATCATCCTCATCCAAGTCCTCCAACGGATAAGTAAGGATAGCCGCAACATTGCCCAGCCCTTCCAGGCGCTTCCCAGACTCATGTAACGAGCTGAGAACGCGCACCTCACCACCCTCTACATCGCGCACCTGATCAACCAACTTGACCCATCGGCGCCTCTCCTCGACGTTTTGCGCGCGGAACAGGGCGTTGTTGATGAGGAGCACGCCGCCTCCGCGTCCCACTGCACCTTTGGCAACTGCGCGCTCCACCTCGCGGGGTCCGTACCACGCGCGTCCGTCGTCCAGGCGCATGAGGGTGCTGAATTTGTCCATGAGCGCTGTTTCGCGCGCAAACTTTGTGTCGGAGAGTTTGTTTGTTATGGCTGGGGAGGAGAGGACTTCGTTGAGGGAGTGTGTGTGCGCTGATGACGAGTGTGCGATGATGATGGTGGGTATGAGGGCCATGAGCGGCTTGTTGGTTGTCCGCGTCGCTTCTGCTTTGATGTATTGTAGGAATGCTGTCGCTACGAAGCCGGGGCTGGCGAGCAGGAGGGGTAGTGTTTTGCCGCCTTGCGCCGTGTTGGAGGTATTTGGTAGGTCGATTTGCCGTAGGAGGGTGGAGAGCGTTGTGGAGAAGAATCTGTCCATGCCTTTGCTGTGTCCGTCGACGCCACCTCGTCGTTTTCTGGGCACCGAGACCTCAATCTTTTGTCGCAGTATTGTTTGGTGTTCTGTGATCATGCAGATGTGCGCGACGCCTTCTCCCATGACGACGGCCCATAATTCTGCGCGTTTGGACGCATCGCATGCCTCTTTCAGCTGCTCTAATGCGACGCTGTCCCAGCCGTCTGCTTTTTCAATGGTAAATTTGCGATTCAGCTCCAAATCAAGTGTGTGATGCTGCCCTAGTTTGACATGCTCGTTCTCTTTTGCTACGCGACCGGAAACGTGTAGTTGTTCGGAGCCGACGTCGAAATCGGTCGATGTTACGGTGATGGTGAGGTCCAAAGCAATTCTTTGCGACGACGTGGAGCCGGCATCTGATGTCTTTGAGACTCGTCGGACTGCTTTGGCGCGTATTTGGTCGTGTTCTTGGATCAGGTTATAGGCGTGCCACATATCCTCAGGCTCCTCAGGCAGCAGGGTGACGAAGCCCGCGCCTGTTTTTTGTTCGATCTGGCTTTTGAGCAACTTCATGATGGCGTGGTCAGGGGTATCTTTGCGTGTAGGGTCAGTGGTGGTGGTGATGGAGGGACAATAACCAGGCGCGTCAAGTTAGCTACGCAGCGTGAACTTTTGGAAAGTAGTGACGCAACCGTGGGATGGAGGGGCACTAGTGGGGGTCCACCCTACCCACCAACCCATGCACGTCTCGCCCTAAAGGTATTCACTCCCATAGTCTGAGACTTCAATGCTAACTACTATGAATCCTTGAGTGCACCTTTTCAGTCGATGCAGAACTGAGAAAAGAAAAGAAACGTGCCTCTTCGTTTGGTTGGATAAATTTACAGGGCCTCTAGGCAAACAGGCTTTCACTAGCAGCGGGTATCACTTTGCAAAAAGACTCGGAAACACAGGTATTGAACAAAGCAACTTCAGCATTCGCTCGTAGCTCATGTAGTCGCTATATACATTATAAGATAGATATATACAAGAATGTTATGTAGACCAAGAAGCCACGCTCTACGACCTGGCCTTGATGATCTCAGCAGCCTTCTCACCAATGCCGTACATGGTAGCCTGGAGATGGCAAGAGGGAATAATAGGAATGATAGAGGCATCAATAACGGAAAGATGCTGAGTACCGTAGACCATCAACTTGTCGCTGACACAGCCACCGTCCCTCTCAGGCATCATGGGGCAGGAGCCAGACGGGTGAGCAAGAGTAGGGCTCAACATAGACTGCGCAAGCAGGGAGTTGTAAATATCCTCATCCGAAGTGTGCTGAGCACCAGGGACAGTCTCAGAAATCTTCTTGCTGGCGAGCTCAGGGCGGGCCCACACGGTACGGAAGAATCGCAGACCAACCGCCATGATCATACGGTCAATGGGGTTGACGAAAG